CCGAGACTCGTTGTCTACATTTTGTGCCGCGTTGTTTAAATTATGGGATTTTCCTCTCCCTCTCATAATTAATCTATCGTTATTATTTAATCATAGGAATATCGCGATTTACATGATTCGGACCTCGGTTGGGTCTTCACCATATTAAATGGATACTTTTGTCAACTGACTTTAATATTACTTTTATATCTGATGATAATTTAATTTTTGTAACGTTATGTAAACTTTGTCCATGTCATGTCATTCACTAAATATGTTATTAGGGGCAGACAAATGAAAACGAGGCAGACTATATAACAAGTGTGGCACTGAACTTGGTAGGCGTGTATATAGAAGTGCCCTCTATTGGGAATCAGGAAGGAACAGCGTGAACGTTCACCGCTGTGCCATTTGTCTGTTAGACGCGCTCGAAGTAAGGTTGGCGAGTCACGCGTGCATCCAACATCACTATGGAGGTCTGTTGCTTGTTGACTTTCTGGAACACGGCGCCACAATTAACGAACAGCGGTACATAGAAACTTTGCAAAAATTGAAGCGTGTTATCTAATCCAAACACCCAGGAATGTTGACAGACAGCATCATTCTGTTGCAGGATAGTGCCCACCCACATGTTACCAAGGTTATTTTGACTACGTTGCAGAAGTTTTGTCCCAAATAGTAGTATGTCCCAGCGACATAGTCTTGTCCCAAATACGGCTTTGCCGTTTTACTTGTTTTCTGATTAACGTAGTTCATTACGTAAGAAAACTAATTATTAAATTCTATTTAATATTACTTTTATTTGAAAATTACGAATGCGAATAAGTTACATTAGATACGCGCTTATGAGGTTTGAGAGTCACTGTAAATAAGTTAACCAATGTTTTTTTTTTTTTGTTTTTTGTAATACCTACATCCATATACAAACACCAGTCATTTTGATGAGCAGTTTACCTTGTGACGGGGAATGAGATGTTCACTGATTCTAATAAAAAGTAGGAGTCTTCGATTGCAAGAATGATTCTCGGCACCACAGAAAGATTGATTGAGACCCCCAAAAATTGAACTAATTATCCAAAGTGAATGCCATAAAAAATCTAAAATTTTAATATATTTTACATCCTTCAACTAAAATTACTTAAATTATAATAATCGTGATTAAAATCTTGGTATTACAATAAAGAACCGTGAAAACCGTGTCCACAAAATTTTATATATTGAAGAGTATGAAAACTCTTCAATATATAAAATTTTGTGGACAGTAAAACTCATACGTAGTTATTAACCCATTTTTTATAAGAAAAAATCTATTACAACGGCCCATTGAAAAGCACTGAGACATTCAGTGTAGTCCACCTGCGGATAGGATTGAAATCTCTGATGTAGAACAATACTATCAACCAAAAACAATTAAATGCCAAATTATAACTAAGCCGGTTTAATACAATAAATTTATTCCCACCACACAAAAACCATTATTGTAGTACAGGGAATCAAATAGTCGTGCTCTATACGAGAATACTCTATTTCGCTTGGAATGATTGATAAATAGGACGGTAAAAAGTTATGAGTAACGTATTTCACTAAAGGAAACAGTTTTCTAAATGCTCGAGTTGTTGGATCCATGCACTCTGTACATGAGTCATGAAAAATATACGCGAAACATCTCTTCTGTACCATTTTGAGTACAGAATATTTCAGCCTTTGCAATTTCTCTTTGATAGTCGTATAACCAGTTTTACCTTCATAAATATAAACAGGAAAAGCATTCACTTTCTCGCCATAAAATAATGTGAGCTTGTAAACATCACGGTGGTCTGAGAAATCTAGAAAACGTCCAGTTTCGTCTTCGAACGAATATACTGCAATATCTTTGTAAAAGATGACGCATTTTGTTTGATCGTCCGGTATATTATTTCTGTTGCAAACATTCTTTATTTCCTTTATCAAATCTGACTTGTCACGAAGTATAGATGCGTTTCCACGTAGAGTGAACGAATAATTAAAAATATTCAAACCTGGAATTTTTGGAAACATTGATATTTGTATTTCGGTTGTTTCGATTGATGAGTACTTACAATGTGCAGGAAAGGGGTTTGTAAAATAGTTTCCTAAAATTAAAAACGTCATTGTTATTAACAATTAATAAATAATTTCAAACTTACATGGTACAACTACTTACGATGCGATAAATGCATAAAGTAAATATGACTTGGAATTGGATCAAGTGTAATTTCTCCAAATCCATTAAGATCATTTGTAGACAAAACCATAAGTTTAGGTTCATCTTCTAAAATGAACCAATTGTATTGAAAATTATTGTCGAAACCAACGTAGGGACGTAGACTTTCCGATTCGTAGATTGCGGTGATTATTACATTAAGAGGGATTTTCTATTAAATAAATCAGAATATTTAGAGCAAATGTAAATTTACTTACATAATGTGATTAATGAAAGCTTATTTTACTGCAATTCAATTATTCTAAAAGTATTGTATAAATGTATTGACGTTAATGTTTTAACATCAATACATTAATAAATGGTACGTATAAATGTATGACGTTAATGACATTTAATCAACAAAATAATGTTATAATAATTACCCTTGTGATAATTGTTACTCGGTGATACATCATGTTTACGATAATATCTTTCCATTTGGTACACACTCGGCTGCATAAATCTAATTCTGCATCTTACAAGTATTCAAGTACATTGATTATTATTATTTCTGGCATTTCTGTGATTAAAGTGCAGTCAGGTGGCGATATTGCACCTATTTCCATTGTTTTTTCAAGTGTGGTTTCTGCCATTTTGGAATTCCTCTGCAAAGAAAAAAATAATTTATTCACTTACAAGGACAGGGCCAGATGTTCTGATTTCCGATTCAAACGAAACTTGGTGAACGTTTAGCTCTAAACACAAACAGCTCCTTGTCTAGATAATAAGACCCTTTTCTCAAACGTTTCCGATAAACGTGACTGTGAAAATTAATTGTTTAGTTTAAAAGTCTTCTGAAGTTTCGCTTCTTGTAACGGCGAGAGCCAAGTGCATAGTATACTACGCACTGGCGCTAAGCAATTCAAGTACACAAGTTTAAATTTTTTTTTATTAATGTGTTTTATTTTACCGTATGATTAGCATTGTTGTTACTATTATTATTCATCGCGTTTAAAGTTAAAAAACAGCACGAAACTTATTGAAAGCATGTATACAACATGAAATTACTGGATTCTCAAGTGATACTTCACTAACACAATTATTGACAATTGGTTTCACAATCATTCTAGAAAACAAACAATATCTAAAACAGATAATTTATAAAATATAGATTTCACACTGATCATTTTTGAAAACATACAGAAAATATTAAAATCATACAATATTATTCTTGCTGGCACATTGAACAAAACAATCAAAACTTTTTTAAAAATCAGAAAATAAATCTATAGAAAGACGGATATGATGTATAATAATAATTTAGTTTATATCTTCACTTGTACTTTACAACCAGATTGTTATTACGTTAATGAAACTGGAAAAAGATTAAAAATTAATATAACGGAGCATATATGAACTGTGACGTATAATTATACTAATACAGAAGTCGCCATTTGATCGTAATGGTTACGAGATCTCATCGGTCAACGTCAAAATTGTATATAGTTTTATCATTATATGTAATAAGGACTAGAGAGGGGCATAAGGCCCGAAATACACTTTCATTTAAAAAATCTATATCTATATCTATATCTATATATAAAAATGGACGTGTATGTCCCTATATTTCACTTTTTCGCCAAAACTACACATCGCACGTGAATGGTGTTTGTATGTGGTGGTAGCCCCAAGTCTCCATTCGTGCATAGGGGTGATTGCGTCTCGATAGCTATAAGGGTGCGGGAGATATGAGGCTGAAAGTGGTTGAAAGTGGCTTTCTATTTCGAATGTTTTGTTCGAATTTGTTTGAATTTGTTCGAATTAAATTCAAACATAAAATTCGAATATTGGTTCGATTATAGAACGATCGTAAACGTTCCACAAACGTTGAAAATAGTTCGTTTGACTAAACGTAAAAATTCTTTAATTAGTCTGGAAACGGGGAACCTAATTCTTGCATTCTGTGAAAACGGGTAAGATTAGCTATAATGTGATTATCTTAATCTTCACAATCGTTACTTTTAGCCCAGCGAAGTGGGTCCTTGCAGCTGGATTCTAGATTACTTAGAAAAACAGTCTTTTATATATAAAGAAAAACTATTACATACAACTAAAAACCCAGCGAAGCGGGTCCTTGCAGCTAGTAGAAAATAAAATCTGTTTTCATTGAAAGTAGCGTTCCTGGAAGGTAAGTTAGGAAAGGTAAGTTTTTGTGTGGCGAGTCTTATATTAAAATCTAAATAACATATAATTAAAACAGAAAAAATTAAAAATCATGACATCATATCTGGTTTAGCAAAACGCAGTCTCTGTAGATGTATGTAACTGTTAATATTTAAAAAGTTAAGATGCAGATCTTAACCTTTTAAATATTACAAACTTTTGATATAATATTCGTCCCTGACCATTGATTTTTGATCAAATAATTTCACCTGTTTATACTTGGACTTATAGAGGGCTTTGGACTTTTAATAAAAGTCCAAGGCCCTCTATTATTACGAGTAGATAAAAAAATATACCAAATGGGAAACGACGAAGTTCCAGAGTCGGTATTATTTATCTGCGGTCGATTCAAAAAGTCATTTTCTGATCTTGTCAAGTATTAATTGATGATAATTATTTTTGAGTCCCCGCATAACGAAACCTAACCCGCAATTCGCGTTTTCTTTCAGTTCGGTTTTCATATATATGGAGGCTTCGATGCACTCCTTGATTATGTCTAGTTTTTCGTGGATACATTCTTCGAAATCTTAAATATCTCCGCTCTCGACTGTCTTTTTTTACACTAGCCTTTCTGGCACTTGTGCAGTTTAGCGGGTACGGCTGTCTCGATGTAAATAAATATAATTCAATTTTGTTTAAGACATGAAAGAGAATAGGCATTTAAAAGCAGAGCAGAATTATTAGTTGTATATTGCATTGTTATACGTTATTATATGTTGATTTTCATTAATATTTAGAATGGAATGATGTTTTACTATTTCTATTAATGATGTGTCGAAAGTTCAGCGAATTCTTCGCAAAAAAAAATAATAATTTATCTGNGAATTAGCCCCTTTGGGTACTTCTGAATCAACAACTGTGACTTTACATATGATGCAATATTGGAGGTATTCATAGTATTTGAACGTATTTTTTTAATCAACACACTATTTGAGACCCTGAATTTCAAATACTTTCTAGTATTTTTAAATTTTAAAAATAGTATTCATACATCTCTAATCTTAATAAATAACAAATCAAAATTTTTTATAATCATATATGACATGTAATGTATGTAAAAGTTAAATTTGATTTAACTTAATAACACTTCTATTTAAATGTCATCATTCAATAAAATTAATTAGTCTCTTTAATCTTAACAAATAATTTTATTTATTAATCCTAATGCAAAATGATAAACTGTCTACCTTTAAGTCATATTATGTTGCTTAACTAGTTTAAAGTATAGCCCAAAAATGATCTGCTAATTTCGATTTTAATTGACTAAACAGAACTATGTTTTCATCCAAGCAAATTCCATATATGAACTACTATACTCAGAAATTTTTTAATAAAAGTATTTTTTTATAGCTAGTTTGATAATTTTTTATGCATTCAAGAAAAAAATATAGTAATATGCTCTAAAAGCATATTCCAAATTAATATTAGAAACACTATAAATTTAATAACTTATAACATGAAATGAATACAAAGACCATATACATAGAGAGAGGAGTAAAAAAGAAAAATTATTATTCCAATATACAAATGGCATTTTATTATTTAAACAGATGTTTTTGATTTGTATAGGAAGCAAATAATATAATGTAAAAAGTATTTTATATTCACATATTTAATATATTTGTGATAGGATGACTTTAGTCTGCTATTAGTCTCAGATTTAAATGAAAATGTTATATTTGCATGTAATTGAAAAATATGACTTGTAAAAAATGAAAACCCAAGGATAATAGCAAATACATTTTCATTTTATACTAAAAACTGTAAAATAGTAAAAAATGAAGTCCAAATGTGCAATTTCTAGTATAAATTTTTCATTCTTAAATATTTAACTGTCAAAACTGTATTAACTCCAAATTAAATCATAATTAAATTTATTTCTTATAAATTCCATTTAAGAATAACTTTGAGAATAGTTTTGAACCATATAAATTTATTTCTAGTTATTGAAAGTTCTATTCACAATTTATTTTCATTACATTACATATACTGTAATTTCTATTGTTTTAATTATTTTTTTTAAATTATGTTGTAATATAATGAAATGAATCATATGACACTTTCATTTTTTCACACTTTAATAAATATGAAAATATCATGATTATAAATAATAAATAAAAGTAAACAGAAAGCTTGAAATCTATTTTATTGTGTGAAAATGTTTATGAATGATTGATTGATATTTAAAAAAGAATTAATCATTAGTAGTTAATTCAAACATTTTCAATATACTCATGGTTAAATCTTCATTTTTAAATTTGGTACATATAAATTTATAGAAATTTTCATTTATAAAATGTAATAAAATAAATAACAGATGGATTACCATATACAATTATGAAATTTCTGGTTTATAATAAACGTAAGTTAATTTAAAAGCAAATTCAGTAACATGAAATTGTAGCTTGGAAATAACTTAATATTCAGAATGTAATCTAGAAATCTGCAGGATGTAAGAGATTTAAATATACAACAGTATAATTTAATATAAAATTAAATACATTTTCTACAAAAACGCTATTTAAATTGAACTCTTAATTTTTAAGTTAATGAGTCTATTGAAAATGTCTGGAGTATTTCTACAGAACAATTCATTATCATCATTAGTTATTGATTATAATAACAATTTCACATTGATATTTGAGCCATTGATTTTGAAAGTGGGGCAAGTCCATTTTGCGAAAAAAATAGTTAAAGCTAATTCTTATACATAAAATTCATGTTTTTAATCAATTCACAAACATCTTTTAATATCTGTATAAATTTGTTACTAGTAATTTATATCCTTAATGATATTTACAGTGAGTTGATTTTGAAAGTGAGGCAAGTCCACTCTAAAGAGAAATATGAAGATATGATGAATTTATTACCCTATGTATCATGAATACTTTAAAAATCTGCACCAACTAATATGCATGCAACTTATTACTAATAGAATAAATAAGTAAATAAATAAAATCTTCAATATTTTGTTATTATAACTATATTCCATTCAAAGAAAAGCAACGTTCTCAACAAATCATTGTTTTTTGAAATTGAGGGCATACGAAAACATGATTTTTTCACCTAACATGGATAACCATTATTGCATATTAAATTTACACGAAATAAAACCAAAAAAATATAAGTCTATTACTGTTTACGAATATTTTTTAACTCATTCAAATGCAAACCATTAAATATCTAGCAATAACATAAAATGGACTTGGCTCATTTAATGAATTAACATTTGTATGAATGTAAATTTACTGGGAACTTAATTTATTATGAGAGAATTTCAAGTAACTATATATAATTAAGAAGATACATTAAATACTGCATGCTATAAGCTAGAACTTCTAGTAATAATAATAAAACATTTTTATCACTTTTTCTAGCAAGTTTTAATAAAATGAACCTTCCGTAACACCGTAACATTCTATAACGAAATTCACGAGTTAAGATTTGACAACGACGATTAATTTTTCGAGATTAACTTGTTAAAAAGAGAACAAAATCAAATTACTTTAAAATTCAGATTAAATGTTTAACTATAAATTTATTATCATCTAAATTTATAAACATATATGTTTTACATAGCCTAACTAATCCTTTTAGTTTAAAAATGTAAAGTTATATAAGAATAATTTATATGTAAGATG